GGTCCTCAACCTTGACAATTTCAAGACTTGTGGACTTCAGATCCCTTCAAAGAAAGCTGGCTGAGGAATTCTGGGAGTTGAAGTCCACAAGTCTTAAAGTTGCCAAGGTTGAGGACCCCTGCTATAGGCCAAATGATTTAGAGCAAAACCCTATCAAGGTTTTTTTTTTAAGCCAGGGTGTCATAACCATAATCAATATTTTGCCAGCAGAAGATGTAGTCATCCACTGCCCCTGTGTCATTACTGGAGGGGAAAGTATTTGGGGGGCTTTTTTTCTCTTTCCCAGTTTTTATAGCAGGTACATTAATTTTCTTGTGTTCCATGCTTATCTTTCTTAATTTTTTGCTGAAACTTTTAATATGCTGCTTTCCAGTGAACTCATTTGAAGAAAGTTTGCAAATCCAATGAAATCCAGAATAAAGGTAGTTCATTAATTCTAGTAAGGAGCTTTAGGAACTCACTGTCAAATGTGAGTTCCTAAAAACACCAATACCCTGTCACTGATCACATGGAGAAACTAAGTCCAAAAACACTGAAGAATTTCTGACCCTGAGACAAATCAGCCATTAACAGGCACAGAGATAAACAACATGTACATACCATTCAGAAGAGATAATCCAAAAGTTAAAAGACCCCCTCTTTGTGAGCAATCAAAATCCAAATAAGCAGAGATTAACACCAAGATTATTACTACACCAACAATCAAGCAATAAACAATACCCCAATCAAGGCACTACCTACACAGACAAAGTCAAACATTATACAATGGTCTTAATCAAGGAACCACCGAGAACACCAATACTGACGGGCAAGCCACGTTATATAAACAAAGAGGGTAATGAAATGTCTGCAAGAAAACAACTAAGCTGAGAGAGGCCCAGGAACTCCAAAGTAATAAAAATATAATAACTAACATTATTTTAAATTCTTTAAGATCAGCCTCCCATGTTCCATTATGTAACCGAGCCTAACTATTTACTATCTCTGCAACTCATGTCACAAGTTAAGTCAAAGGAAATAATTTTCCATCTGTAACTTGCAAGGAGGATTTTAATGTCTTCCTTTTCTTTTTTCCAGATTCTCTATCTGTTTGGTTGACTTAATGCTGCAAACTTTATTCAGAAGGCTGATTGGGACTTTTTCTCATTTGGAGAATTAGTCACGAAATTCCCTTAACAGCCTACCTGATTCCTGTACAGTAATATGAAGCTACCATATGCTTAATTTGGGGCTCACAAGGAGAGCCCAACCAGCTTGACTACGGCCTATGATGAATGGATTGGGAACCATAAAATCTGCCTTGCATTTTGCAATATTTATAGTTTGTGGAGTAGACATGCAGGGATTGATGTAAAAAGGATTTCCTGAAGGCATTAAGCTTTTGAAAACCACAACCACTTTAAAGGAAAGGCAATGTTATTTTGGAATGCATATTTTTCACTATTTTCATCTCTCACTATGTTGATTAGCCAATGAGGTCTAGGATTTTGACAGCCAGGGTACCATTTCTATTTATAAAGCTTCCATATACCGTATGTTTCAAACTTGGTGTAGCTAACTTGGTGTCTGTGGGTTGAGGTTTTGTAAGAAGAGGTATAATCTCTGAAGCAATCTTGCTTTCATCCAATTGCTGGTTTCAGTGTTTGGATTTTGGGAAGGGATGTATACAACAGAATATATTCAGTATGGACTGGATGAGCATGTATTTAAAAATTATGCAGTAATCAGCATTTTAAAGAGCCGTGGTGGCGCAGTGGCTAGAATGCAGTACTGTAGGCTACTTCTGCTGACTGCTGGCTGCCAGCAGTTCAGCAATTCAATTCTCACCAGCTCAAGGTTGACTCAGCCTTCCATCCTTCCGAGGCCAGTAAAATGAGGACCCACATTGTTGGGGGCAATAGGCTGACTCTGTAAACTGCTTAGAAAGGGCTGTAAAGCACTGTGAAGTGGCATATAAGTCTAAGTGCTATTGCTATTACTATTAAAAAGCTGATTTGATTTGGTGATGAATTTTAAGCAGCATGAAAGTATAATGGTAATGCTAACGGTTTCCTCTGTCCAATCATGTCCCACTCTAGAGGGCAGTGCTCATCTCCGTTTATTAGCTGAAGAAGACAGCATTGTCCAAAGAGGCTTCTGTGGTCATGTGACCAGCATGACTATACACTGAGGCGCACGTAACACTGTTATCTTTCCACCAAGGTGGTACCTATTTATCTAGTTGCATTTGCGTGTTTTCATACTGGTAGGTGGGCTAGAACTGGGACAAGAACTAGAGCTGGCAGCCCAGAAGCTCAGCATCTTTAACTGTTGAGCCATCATGCCCCCATGAAAGTAAAATAGGAAAAGGCATCTTAGATATTAGTACCATGCAAAGCTTTTGAAAGGATTGCTTTGCAACATGCAGGAACACAAATAGAGCACCTCTCATGAAAACCATGTTGGTTTTTTCAGCTCTCAAAAGGCTGTTTTAAAAGCTATCCCCAGCTGTATCTGTGTGTGTGTGTGTATGTAGTCATTTCTTAAAAAAAAAAAAAACAGTTGGAACACAACATTTTACAGAAAACCAAGGCTGCTTTAATGATTCACAAAGAATTGTTCCACATACTGCAAAGCAGCTCTTCTGAAAGTTTTGACTAGTCCAGGGGTAAGCAACCTTGGCTCTTTTATGACTCGTGGACTTCAACTCCCAGAATTCCTGAGCCAGCATGGTTGCCTACCCCTGGCCTAGTCCTACCAATTGGTACACATGTCCAGATAGTCATTGACTTACAACAGTTTGTTTAGTGACCGTTCAGAGTTACAACGGCACTGAAAAAAGTGACTTGTGACCGTTTTTCACACTTATCACTGTTGGAGCATCCCCATAGTCATGTGATCAAGATTCAGATGCTTGGCAACTGACTCATATTTATGATGATTGCAGTGTCCTGATATCATGTGATTCCCTTTTGTGACCTTCTGACAAGCAAAGTCATTGGGGAAGCCAGATTCACTTAACAACCATGTTACTAACTTAACAACTGCAGTGATTCACTTAACAACTGTAGCAAGAAAGATTGTAAAAAGGGACAAAACTCACTTAACAAATGTCTCACATAGCAACAGAAATTTTGGGCTTAATTTTGGTGATAGGTCGAGGACTACCTGTTGTGTATTCCTGAGGGAGAATAAACTTTAGGTTTCACCCTGCAATGAAGTGGAGTGGGAGCCTGTTAAGCCATTTTCTCAGCTGCCTGTGCACCCTGCTAGTTGACTTATGGGACCAAACAGTGGGGTTTTTTTTCTTTTAATCCCAAATTAATTATGTGGGAAGCAGGACCTATTAGTGGTGGCAGAGTAGGAACAAGTGGGAGCCTTTAAGGAAAGCCTACTATTTAACTGACTTGATTTTTAATTTGAAGAATCCTTCACAGGCCTCTAAGGGAAAACACACTTCTTTCTGGATCACAGTTGGAAAGAATGAGGTCCAGCTTTTGTTGCCAAAACAAACTGAACACTTGGTTGTCAATTTTCAGATGTTTAGTTGCAAAATAAAAATGATATATTCGTTCAGTGCGTGTTTTTGTACATTTAAACAAGAAGAGATATCCGCTAATTTTGTCAATGCCTTTTTTTAATGGAAAATGTACCTTTACAAAAAATGAGATAATGCAGTAGCTCAACACATCAAGAAGGCCACCAGATGAACTTCTGTTTTTAATAATCATAATTCAAATCACAGCTAGTTTCTCAGAATTTCTAAAGGCGGAGCAGCGGAGAGCAAAGCCTTGGGATGAATTAATTTATAGGTGTTTCTGCTTTGCTTTAAAGGGGAATATGAAGGTCCCATGGTGAGGGGAAGTGTAAGATTACACACTTAAAATGATGGCCCCATAAAAAAAATCTGTAGATAGATAATTTAATATGGAAAGAGACAGTTTGGTCTACTGGTTAAGATACCAGCTAAAAACCTGGAGACTGTGAGTTCTAGTTCCACCTTAGTTGTGAAATCCAGCTGGGTGACTTTGACCCAGACACAGACTCTCAGCTACAACATGAGGCTCAGTGACAAGCTGGTCAGTCAGTGCCTATCACAACTAATCAATCAACACTCTTTGATCCTCCCCCCAAAGTGGACCCTAGATTGTGAGAAAAGAAAAAAAAAAACACTTTAACATCTTTCTCTTCATCTTCCATCTCCAAATTATATTGCAGGAATAAATGCCTATCTTATGATAAGTGATAATTCACAATTCATTTTACTCCCCCAGCCTTCAAAATCTCCATATTTAGGATACAAGGAGCAAGAAAATTTAAAATAACAGGGAAAGAAACCTACCATATATACTTGCAAATAAATTAAAAAAATTTAGGAGCCAATATACACCCAAAAATTGCATTCAGCTTATCCGCAGGTAGATACGGTAGTAATCATATATCCCTTATGTACTCATGTATAAGCTCATTAGCAGACAAGGTGATTCTCAAATTTTTAACCAAAATCCCATTAAAAAAAATCAGGGATTACCCATGGATAAGCCAATGGTGAAAATTAAAATATACAACATTTTAAGGGTCAGCTTAAGGGTCAGCCTATTTGCGGTGCAGTTTTCATGGTATTTTGGTTAAAAATTCAAGGTTATCCATAGATAGACTTATACAGTACATGAAGTATATATGGTATTTGTTATACTTTCGGAAATGTAAATTAAATTTTAAACATGAAACCTGGAAAGTTATTTGTGAAAAAAATGTGTCTATTCCTACCTATGACATAGCATGCTGTGGAATTCCAATAGAAGAGACCAGGGGTCTTCAAATTGGCTGAGGAATTCTGGGAGTTGAAGTCCACAAGTCTTAAAGTTGCCAAGTTTGAAGACCCCTGGAATAGACTGTCTTTTGCCTTTCCAAGTATTGGTCAGTGTTTTAAATTTTGTATCTTTAACTTTTCTTGTTTCAGTGAAACACTGCATTCTAAGAAGAAACTCAAGACTAACTTTTGCTCTTTTACTTTACAGCTCTCTCAATGGCAGTACAAAAATTTTTCCAGTCGCTTCAAGATTTTCAGTTTGAATGCATTGGAGATGCTGAAACAGATGACGAGATCAGCATTGGTAAGCCTACTTTACTGCAACTGGAATTAATAAGATTTAACTGACTATAGGTAGGCCTCGATTTACAGCCACAAATGACCCCCCAAATTACCATTCTAAGCAAGGCACTTGTTAAGTGAGCTTTGCCCCATTTTACAAAGGTTTTTTTTTTTTTTTTGCCAAAGTTGTTAAGTGAAGCGTGTGGGCATTTGCAAATCTGGATTTTCCCATTGACTTTGCTTGTGGGAAGCTGGCTGGGAAGGTTACAAATGGTGATCACATGACCCTGGGACAGTGCAGCGGTCATAAATACATGCCAGGTGCCAGGTGTCCAAATTTTGATCATATGACCACAGGGATGCTGCATGGTTGTAAGGGTGAAAACCTAATAATAATAATAATAATAATAATAATAATAATAATAATAAAGTTGGAAGGGACATTAGAGGTCATCTAGTCCAACCCCCTGCTCAGATAGGAAACCCTATACCATTTCAGACTTTCCAGTCTCTTAAAAACTTCCAGTGTTGGAGCATTCACAGCTTCTGGAGGCAGGTTGTTCCGCTGATTAATTGTTCTAACTGTCAGGAAATTTCTCCTTAGTTCTAGGTTGCTTCTCTCCATGGTTAGTTTCCATCTGTTGCTTCTTGTCCTGCCTTCAGGCGCTTTGGAGAATAGCTTGACTCCCTCTTTTTTGTGGCAGCCCCTGAGATATTGGAACACTGCTATCATGTCACCCCTCGTCCTTCTCTTCATTAAACTAGACATACCCAATTCCTGTCATAACTCGCTTTTTTCAGTGCTGTTGTAACTTTGAACAGATACTAAATGAAGGGTTATAAGTCAGGGACTACCTATACTAAAGTCTCAGAATCAGCCGTAATTGAATTATCTCTCCATTGGGCTTATTACTATCAACTGCCAATGGGAAGGATCTCAGAAATGGTTATCATCATTTTAAAGAACATTTTTTCTAGTTTTTCTTTTATTATTCATGTTCATTGCAAGAAGTATTGCTAATACCTATATTCTGAATGGCAAGTTATTATTGAAGTTATTATTGTTCTTCTACAAAAAATTGAATTCAGAATGACATTGTTAGCACAGGTATTTTTGTTTAGTATTCACTTGTTCAGTGACATTTGAAGTTACAACAGTTTTAAATGAGGGGTGCTTACAATAGGTGTTCATCGTTACAACTGTCACAGCGTCCCCACGGTCATGTGATTGCTAGTCAGGCAATTACGATGTCACATGATGATTGCTATTTGCAAATGTCACCACCAGCTTTGATAAACCAAGTCAATGGGGAAGCTGGCAGGAAGTGGCAAAGGATGATCACATGACTACAGAATGCTGTGACTGTGTGGGATTCACCTACTGTGGCAACTGGGACTGCTGAAACTACCGTCATAAAGTGGTACAGTTGTGATTTCACGCCATATGACCAATATTTAGCTGGAGTCAGAATTTTCATCTAGATGAGAGGTTTACAAACATGGTATCTTTAAGACTTGTAGAGTTCAATTCTCAGAATTCCTCAGCCAATTACCAGGTTTGGAGACCTCTGATTTAGATTAACTATGTCCAGGTAGCATATACATTGGTATAATCAGTACACAATCCTGGGAGCAAATGGGATTTAAAAGCACACTTCTTAAATTGTTATGCTGATGAGTGCCATCTTTTAGTAGATAAAAGATGTTCATAATGGTTCCTCCAAGCTTTGTAATGATAAGGTTTTAAAGGTAGGCAACTCAATTTTTACAGCAATTGTAAACTTTTTTTGCAGGACTGTTCAGGGGAAGAGTGATGGATTTTAATTAGAGTAATTATTAATGCAAATGCCATAATTAAATCAGTGGATATTATTACAGGAAAGATGAGTTCATGTTAACGTAAGATTTCTTTCAAAGGAAGGACCTAGCATAAAGCTTTTTGAGCCTTCTGCTTCAGTGTGTTGTTTTTGTAAACTTGCAATTTAGTCTTTGGATTTAGATAGCTACACTACATTTCTCCCATGGTTGTGAATGTTAAGACCCAAATCTTTTTTCATAGCTAACGTTCTGCTTCACTGCTCTGAAACTCTTGAGTAATATGCAGAAGCTATGAAATTCATTATTTCAAATGAATGAGTTGGCTTGGCTTTCAAACTTGGGATTAGCAGAATGTTAATGTGGTGGATATTTATGGACTTGTGTGAATTCAAGCATAGCTATTGGAGGGTGAGAAGGCATCAGATTCAGGTCTCGTCTTGCTATAGTCCAGACATGCTAAACACAAGACCTGGGGGCCAGATGAGGCCCGCGATGTGGTTTCATGTGGCCCGCAAAGCCATTCTGAAAACAATGAGGAAATGGCCCCCACTGCCTTGGCCCTGGCCCAGGCTTCCCGGGAGCCAATGTACAATTTTGTGGTGGCCATCTATGCTGAAACACATTCAGTCTTAGCTCCATAAGGCTGTCTGGAAAGAGCAAGGGACCGACCCATGCCATGTTGGCCCCGCCCTCTGGGCGCCCACTGGGGAGATCTCACCCTTTGTGAGGAATGAAGAAATGCACCATCGCCTGGAAGTGGCCAGCAAATGGCCCTTGCCTACTTCACATATCCAGCTTGATGGGCTCCAAGGGAGGGGTTTCAGCAGATAGTAGGCTGCGCCCACCCAGTAGGCCATGTCCACCCAGTAGGCCACGCCCACCCTGGCCATACCTACTCATCCTGGCCAAACCTACCCCCCCCCCGAGGACAACCGCAATGCTGATGCGGCCCTCAATGAAATTGAGTTTGACACCCCTGCTATAGTCAATCTATGAACTATTGAAAGATGATCAAATTAAAAAGCCTAACAGGCAGCAGCTCCTAGCTTGTCTTGCTCATGTCTTATTATTACTTGAATGGGAGACCACTAGAAAATTCCTGGATTGTAGATTAGTCAGGGAAGTTGAAAAATATCCTGGATGAAGGCAGTGACAAAGCATTCCATGAAGCTTCCAAGAAACTATGTGGGCATCTCTATCAAGTCATCAATTATGGAACTGAATCGAAGGAAGACTTAGTTTTTAAAAGCTTAGAAGTCTTTTACTGGGTGAGATGAATATGGATATACAGTATAAAGAAATTAGCGCAATAGCAGAAGTAGCATTAAAAAAACAGTGGCAGTAAAGGACAGATGGCTAGGAGTGGTAGAATGTAAATCTTATAAAAATGTTTTTGTACTATTTAAAATACAGGTAGACCTCGACTTACAATCAGAATTGAGCCCAAAATTTCTGTTGCTAAGTAAGATAGTTGTTAAATGAGTTTTGTCCCATTTTATCTTTCTTGCTACAGTTATTAAGTGAATCACTGCAGTTGTTAAGTTAGTAACACAGTTAATAATAATAATAATAATGATAATGATAATGATAAAGTTGGAAGGGACCTTGGAGGTCATCGAGTCCAACCCCCTGCTCAGGCAGGAAACCCTACACCATTTCGGACAAATAGCTGTCCAGTCTCTTCTTTAAACTTCCAGTGTTGGAGCATTCACAGCTTCTGGAGGCAGATTGTTCCACTGGTTAATTGGTCTAACTGTCAGGAAGTTTCTCCTTAGTTCTAGGTTGCTTCTCTCCTTGATTAGTTTCCATCCATTGCTTCTTGTCCTGCCTTCAGGTGCTTTAGAGAATAGCTTGACTCCCTCTTCTTTGTGGCAGCCCCTGAGATATTGGAACACTGCTATCATGTCCCCCTTGTCCTTCTCTTCGTTAAACTAGACATACCCAATTCCAGCAACTGTTCCTTATATGTTTTAGCCTCCAGTCCCCTAATCATCTTTGTTGCTCTTCTCTGTACTCTTTCTAGAGTCTCAACATCTTTTTTACATCGCGGTGACCAAAACTGGATGGAGTATTCCAAGTGTGGCCTTACCAAGGCATTGTAAAGTGGTATTAACACTTCATGTGATCTTGATTCTATCCCTCTGTTAATGCAGCCTAGCACTGTGTTGGCTTTTTTGGCAGCTGCAGCACACTGCTGGCTCATATTTAAATGATTGTCCACTAGGACTCCGAGTTGTTAGTGAATATGGCTTCCCCATTGACTTTACTTGTCAGAAAGTTGCAAAAGATGATCACATGACCCTGGGACACTGCAACCATCATAAATATGAGTCAGTTGCCAAGTGTCTGAATTTTGATCACATGATCATAGGGATGCTGCAGCAATTGTAAGTGTGAAAAACGGTCACAAGTCACTTTTTTCCAGTGCCATTGTACTTTTGAACGTTCACTAAATAGACTGTTAAGTCAAGGATTACCTATATAAATTGGAACTTACATATGGTAATATGAATCTTCCTGTTCATAGGAAGAATCTATAGATATTGTTCATTTTATAATAATTCAAAGTTATGATGGCCTTGGAAAAAGTATTTATGATCTGTCCTCACACTTAGGACCATACTACCCTTACAGTCAGATGATCACAATTTGGGCATGTGGCAGCTGACTCACAATTGCGACCACTTGCACCATCATTTGCTTGTGATTTGCAATCTATCCAGCCATTTTCCAGCAAGCAACATCAATTGGGGAACCTGGATTTGCTTAATAATTGTAGCAAAATGGTCATAAAATCAGACACGGTCGCATGATGACTTGCTTTATGACAGCACTGACCTATGATAGAACTTGCAGGTGCAATGGTAGTCGTAAGTTGAGGATTATCTGTACAGTAAAGATGTTAGCTATTGAAGGTAAATTATTATAAAATGGATTTATAGCAGAAAACTGGATGTATGAAATATAAATTGATAGGAATTGGAGCATTTAGATCCATTTTCAGGCAAAAAGAAATTAAAAAATAATATATATATTTAAAAATCTCCCTCTAAATCTAAAACTAAAATGAAACCACAACAGTGTGCCATCATTACTTGTAGATGAAGTTGACAAAGGACTCAATTACTTGCCACACCAGTTGTGAAAAAAGCCCAGCTTGAGGAAGTTTAGATCTTTGGTTAGTATGAGAGGAACACATGCTAA